TTTGTTTACTGACTGTTACTCTTGGCTAGAATATAAGGCTAGAGATCAGCAACTTTGTTTGCCACTATATTCTGGCATCAAGAAAACAGAAGGCACTATGGAATGAACATTCTTGCTGCAAACTGAGATAGAAGAGGCAAGCCCATTCCCTAACATCCACTTCCTATTCTCTCTTATTTATTTATTTATTTATTTATTTATTTATTTATTTATTATTGATTTTTAGAGAGGGAGAAGGAGAGTGAGATACAAATATCAATGATGAGAGAATCATTGATTGGCTACTTCCTGTACCCCTTACTGGGGATCAAGCCCACAACCAGGGCATCTACCCTTAACCGGAATCGAACCTGGGACCCTTCTGTTTGCAGGCCAACACTCTATCCACTGAACCAAACCAGCGAGGCCTACCCATTCTCTTTTCATAAGGGGGGAAAAAGTGTTTGCTTGAACATATAATTTAAATAAATGATCTTCGATCATGAAGCAAATAATCCTACAAAAAGACATTATAAAAGATTGATTCCTTACTTGCAACACAGTACTTCTAAATGGGAAAACCTGGCTTTCAAGAATGGAACAATTAGAAGTCAATGCAAATACATAGCTATTTTCACTGCACACAGTATTTGAAAGATTTGTCAATAATCATGTCAATAGTTCCTTTGGAAGAAATCAATTCAACACTATCAGCTGGAACTTAAAAACCCACCAAAATCCTCAACCAGCGAATTTTGTACAACACAAGAGAAAATACCACCTGCATTTTTAATTAGAGTATCTTGCAGGGCTTGAGAATTTAACAATCTAATAGGAAATAGTTGACTATGGAAAACTACATTTTAATAAGTCTGTGTTAAATGCTACTTCAGCTAAGATTAAATCTTTTCAAACATCAAATCACCATGACTACAGCATAATTCAGAAATACTTTTAAATCTGCAAAATTAAAAAAAAATCCAAGGGATATAAACCACTGAATAAAACAAATACTGTATTAATACAGTTATATATTATTTATCTGACAAGCTTAGTCATCTTGAACAGGGCTGGGAAGTGGGAACAAAAAAAAAAGTAAGTGCTCAAACTATTTCTGACACTAACGTTGAATAATGGATATAAGAGACTATTTTAGACCTCTTTTATTCTATAGCCAAGTCATGTTACAGTTCCATTAAGCTTACCAATATAGTATTTTCACCCATAAGGGGACTATCTGCAAGAGAGAAGCACTTCACAATAGCAGGAAATTGGGAGTTTATTGCATAAAAGTATGAGAGTTGGGAAAAAATAAAGTATACATTGTAAAAACAAAAATAAAACTGATAAGCACAAGAGCCTGGGCCCATTTAGAGCTGGTCATAAATAGTCCTAACATTTTTAAATATAAGATAGTACTATACATTATGCCTATTACCATTATCTCCTGGTACAACTTTAAAAAATATATTTTTATTGATTTCAGGTATGGAGAGATTGAGAGAGATATAAACATCAGCAATGAGAAAGAATCATTGATTGGCTGCCTCCTGCACGCCCCCATACTGGGGATCGAGCCCGCAACCTGAACATGTGCCGTGATCAGGAATCAAACTGTGATCTACTGGTTCGTCGGTTGATGCTCAACCACTGAGCCACACAAACTGGGCTCTCCTAGAACAATCTTGATTATTTCCTAGTTGTGTGACCTTGGTAAGTAATAGTAAAAGACCATAACAACCAGTCCAAATAATGAAAGGAGGTTCTAAAAAATATATATATATAGGGGTATGAGCTTGGCAAAAGATTTATGTCAGAAGTTTAAAGTCAGTTTAAAGCCTTAGAAAAGTTGACTTTATTGTTAACGCTTTAAGAACTGCCATTTCTACAAAAGAAAGTATGACATTCAGTATATACTAATACATAAGATCTTAATTTTCCACATTATAATTTTCTGCCTAGTTGTATATAGCAATATTATCAATACTATGACTGATTTTATCTGATGAAACTTGCTGGCTTCATAGGTCTGAACAATAAGAGCTTTTATTACAAAATGAAATTTCCAAGTTTCCATTTGTGATTCAGTGACAAAAATGTCATTTAACTTTTAAAAAAATCAACTCTGAAGTAATTCTTTATTATTTATTATTTTTATTAGTTTCAGAGAGGAAAGGAGAGGGAGAGAGAGATAGAAACAACAATGATGAGAGAGAATCATGGATTGGCTGCCTCCTGCACACCCCCTACTGGGGATTGAGTCTACAACCCAGGCATAGGCCCTTGACCAGAATAGAACCCAGGACCTTTAGGCCTGAAGGCTAAACTGGCTAGGGCTCTGTGAAGTAATTCTTGATGAAAGTTTTAATGCCTTTAAATAGGAATGCCCAGCTGAAACCGGTTTGGCTCAAGCGATAGAACGCCAGCCTGTGGACTGAAAGGTCCCAGGATCGATTCTGGTCAAGGGCATGTACCTTGGTTGGGGATGTGCAAGAGGCAGCTAATTGATGATTTGCTCTCATCGGATGTTTCTAACTCTATGTCCCTCTCTTTCTCTCTGTAAAAAATCAATAAAATATATTTTAAAAAAATAATAAATAAATAAATAAATAAATAGGAATGCCCAGAACCCAAACTAGTCTAAAACATAATTTTCTTAAATCCCTTCAAAGATTCATGTCCATCCCCCAAAATGCAAAATACACCACTCCTTCAGGCCAACATCCCAAAAAGCTTCAACCATTCTAGCATTAACTCAAGTTCAAAATATCATCATCTAAGTCAGTGTTTTTCAACCTTTTTTGGGCAAAGGCACACTTGTTTCATGAAAAAAATCACGAGGCACACCACCATTAGAAAATGTTAAAAAATTTAACTCTGTGCCTATATTGACTATACATAAAGTAATTCTCTTGAATAGGAATCAAATAAACACAAAAAAAGTATTTTATAATTACTTTATTATGAAATATTAAGTAAACAAAATAGTGAAAAATTATAAAATTCTTGTCTTGTCTGCACCTACGGCACACCAGGCAACATCTTGCGGCACACTAGTGTGCCGCGGAACAGCGGTTGAAAAACGCTGATCTAAGTTATCTAAGTCAGGAATGGGTCAGACTCTGGCTATGACATATCATGGAACAAAATTCCTTTCCACTTGAAACTAGAAAACAAGTTATCACTTCTAAAATACAACTATAAGACAGGCAAAGGATAAAAGTAATATATTCTCCCATTTCAAAGGGAGAAAGTGGTAGGAAGACAAGTCACTGGGCCAACCAATCTCAAAATTCAACAAGTCAAATTTCATTATATTTCAAGGCCTAGGAATACGGTGATCTGTGGCTCTACCCTTTGGGCTTGAAACTCCACTCTCAGAGTCATTCTTCCTTTTCTTGATTTTAATTTTGAAAAAAAAGTTTTTATTGACTTTTTAGAGAAAGAGAAAGGGAAAAGGAAAGATCAATCGGCTGCCTCCTGCATGCACCAGGGATCAAACTGAAACCTGGGCATGTGCCCTGACGGGGAACTAAACTAGCAACCTTTCGGTGCACAGGATGATGATGCTCAACCAACTGAACCACACCAGCCAGGAACATTTTTCCTTTTCTTGAAGGCTATTTGCAGCTGTTTCCTGCTTATTGAATTTTGAAAGTTCATCAGCCTTCCTTCATCTGGTCAGTCCAAACTGGCAGTGTTTTTGCTGATAAAATATTCTCAAAACTCTCGTGAGTCACCTGTGTATGCCGCAAGAGTTCTCATCATTAGATGCGTAAGATGTTCCTCTATAGATCTTCCCTGATCTCTCTTATTCAACCTCTATTCCTGGCTTTGGCTGATATGAGCCACATGCAAAAGGTTATCTAGACACCCTCCTGGCTTTCCCTTCATAGCCAGTTTCCTGACAATGAATTTCCTAATTTTAGTGTCTGCTACAAACTGGATAGGTTGAGAATCTTCCAAATCATCAAGTCCTAAATCTTTTTTGCTCTAACAAGTTACCACATAGAGACTTAAAACAACAGAAATTTATTCTCTCATGGTCTAGCAGCAAAGTCTAAAATCCAGTATCACTGAGCTGAAATCAAGGTTGTCAACAGGACCACACTCCCTCCAGAGGTTCTAGAGGAGAAGTTTTCCTCACCTCTTCCAAATTCTGATGGCTACCAGCATTCCTTGACTAGTGGCCACATCACTCTGCCTCTGTGGTCATCCTGCCTTTTGTGGTGTGTGTGTGATAACTTAGCCTGCCACAGAAGCATACTCTTCAATTACTCTCTGCCTTTACCCTCTTTGGGTCAATTTGTTTCAAAGAGTTTTTTATAATGTAATTAGCTTAATTACCCATGTTCATATAAGCAAAGTTTGTGGGATTAGAAATGCAGCATGAGAAATGTAAATAGGCAGATTCAACATGAAATAGAAAATTTAGTTATTTCCCTCCATCTTTTTCTTTTTTTTAATATATTTTATTGAGTTTTCACAGAGAAAAAGAGAGAGAGGGATAGAAAGCCAGAAACATCTATAAGAGGGATAGAAAGCCAGAAACAATGATCAGCTGCCTCCTGCACACCCCCTACCGGGGACGTGCCCACAACCAAGGTACATGCCCTTGACCAGAATCAAACCCGGGACCCCTCAGTCCGCAGGCCGACGCTCTATCCACTGAGCCAAACTGGTTCCGACTATTTCCCTCCATCTTATTTAACTGCTGGGAAAAGAAGTAATTTTCAGTTGCATAATTTAAAAAAAACACAAAAGTTGATAAATAAAATACTACTTTGATCATAAAAATGAAGGTTTTTATGGAGAAGGTCCACTCAAGAAACATATCAGAATAAGGGTCAAAATTGCAAGGTTAATGAAATAACAAGCAAACATCTCCATAACTTAAGATTGAATATGTGGTTTCAGAGCTAGTAAGTAACAGATTTCCTCCTCCCTCAAACCTTTAAATTTTAAAACCTATTTTATAGTCAAATGAAAGATAAGAATCCAAAATAAATTTCTCTTCTTACCTCTACACAGTCAAAGTTCTCATTGACTTTTGATGCATATTCAACACGGAACATTGTTGACAGGCTACCCGCAATATAGTATAACAAGATCTTCAGACCCTTGTAACCAAAAGCAGTTTCGCTAAAAGGGGAAAAACAGCAGTTACCTAAGATCTCAAAATGAATCTTTGCAAAGTCATTATAAAGTATTAACCCTATATAAACAAGTGTAGCTCTATTGGTAGTTTGTGTGTGTGTGTGTGTGTGTGTGTGTGCGCTTTATTTATTTATTTTTATCTTTATTGTTCAGATTATTAGTTGTTCCTCTTCCCCCTCACCTCCCATAGCTCCCTTTCACCTAGTTCCCACCCCACCCCCCCACATGCCCTTATCCAAGCACTGTCCTCATCCATAGGTGTATGATTTTTGTCCAGTCTCTTCTTGTACCCCTCCCCCCCCCCCCCGACACACCTTTCCCTGCCCCTGATTCCATTATATTCACCAGTTTATTCTGTTCCTCAGATTTTTAATTCACTTGACTTTTAGATTCACTTGTTGATAGATATGTATTTGTTGCTCATAATTTTTATCTTTACCTTTTTCTTCTTTTCCTCTTCTTAAAGAACACCTTTCAGCATTTCATATAATACTGGTTTGGTGGTGATAAACTCCTTTAGCTTTTTCTTATCTGTAAAGCTCTTTATCTGACCTTCAATTTTGAATGATAGCTTTGCTGGGCAATCGTGGTTGTAGGTTCTTGCTATTTATCACTTTGAATATTTCTTACCACTCTGGCTGGCCTGCATAGTTTCTGTTAAGAAATTAACTGACAGTTGTAGGTAACTGTTTTCTCTTGCTGCTTTTAATATTCTCTCTTTGTCTTTTGCTCTTGGCATTTCAATTATGTTGTGTCTTGGTGTGTTCCTCTTTGGATTCCTTTTATTTGGCGCTCTGTGCACTTCCTGGACTTGTAAGACTATTTCTTTCACCAAGTGGGAGAAGTTTTCGGTCATTATGTCTTCAAATAGATTTTCAGTATCTTGCTCTCTCTCCTTCTGGCACCCCCATAATTCAGATGTTGGTATGCTTGAAATTGTCCCGGAGGCTCCTTACACTATCTTTATATTTTTATATTATTTTTTCTTTTTGCTTTTCTGGTTGGGTGTTTTTTTGCTTCTTTGTATTTCAAAACTTTGACTTGATTTTTATAATTCTCTAGTATACTGTTGTATCTCTGTATTTTATTTCGTATTTCAGTCAGTGTATGCTTAATTTCTAGTTGGTCCTTTTTCATATCCTGGAGGATCTCAGTAAATTTATCGGCTTTTTCTAGAAAATTCTTGAAAAACCTTATAACCATTGTTTTGAACTCTATATCCAGTAGTTTACTTTACTCCATTTCTGTCATTTGTGAACTGTTTCTTTGTCTCCACATTTTGGCTGCTTCACTGAGTTGATAGAGTGGTTTCTGTGTGCTAGGTTTCCTAAGGTTCCAGTGGCTCAGCCTCCCCAGTTACCTGAGATGGACACTCTTGGTGCATCCCTTTGTGGGCTCAGTGTACAGTCTTGTTGTAGTTACTTAGCCTTGATTGTTGTTGGTATCACTGGGAGGAATTGACCTCCAGGCCAACTGGCTGTGAGGATGATCTGTGTCTATGATGGGAGAACTTTTGTGCTGGAGACACCCTTATTGGGCAATACCTGCTTCAGTGGGGCTTTGGTGCTCACTGAGTCTGCCCTCTGAGTGTGTCCCTTATGGATCTGAGGAGTTGTAATCTGAATGGTCCCACTCTGACCCCTGGGTACACTGGCTCTTGGATCTCTAAGGGGGTACTAATTTAGCCTCTGCCTGAGGCCACCCAGCAGAAGCTACAAAGAGATCTGCAGATTCCTCTTCTTTGTTTGGGGTTTGGAGGTGCCCAGATGAGGCCCAGCTGTGAAGCAATGCAGGCTGCTATCAAGCCTTGGGCCTTCTGGAAGTTTTGGGTCTCTCTGACCCAGCTGCAGTTTGTCAGGACCAGGCCTAAATGGGCAGACAGACATCCCTCAAGTGGTCCAAGATTGGAGAGGGTGCAGGCAGGGCTGAGGGACTTCTGTGCCCTCCCACCCTGTGCACTAATTTTGTGCACCAGGCCTCTAGTAATAAAATATAATTATTAATATTTAAAAGCACATTAAATGCCTAATATATAAATGAGAAATATTTATGAAATCTGTTCCATGAAAAGACATCTTTCAATTTTAAAATATGTTGAATATGTCAAAGGTGTTGGAATAATGCATAAAAAAAACCATAAAGGGAAATAATTTAAATGTCAACTATATCCTAACACCATTCCCTACTACAACAAACCAAGGTTCCTTCGGAAAATGGCTGACTCCAGAACTAGTAGAAAATGTACAAGGTGACTCTGGAATATCTAACTGTGTCAGAAAGTAACAGGCCCTCAAAATGATGATGGTACACCAAAAGGACTCAAAAGCTGGTTTGACAGGATAACTACTTGCTTAATCTGGGATAATCAAAATCAGTAACAGAATCAGATTATAACCCACTGAATTTAAAAAAGAATCCTAGCTCTGGCCAGTGTGGCTCAAAGGCTAGAGCATCAGCCGGAGCACCAGGATTGATTCCCAGTTTGGGTCAGGTAACATACAGGACAAAACCAATCGGTATTTCTCTCCCTCCTTCTCTCCCCCCCTCCCTCTAAACAAAGAAATACATAATGGGGAGAAGCTTTTCCTTATTGTAGAATGTCAACTAATGAATGTAGATGGTATGACAGAATTAGAAAACCACCATTTTATAATCACAGTAAAATTCTGATTAAGATAAGAGTCAGTAGTGGAATTCAAATTACTGGGTACAAGTTTGATGGGAAACAGGGTAATGTTAGTCTCAGAGTATTTCCCCACAGATTATATATAAATATAAAAGAGGAATCTGGCAGACATCTCTAAACTGAGTGGTCTAAGTTAACCTCACCAACAATGAAACAAATTGTTATCATGAACTTTGTGCTTTGACACACTGAGAAGGACAAATACAATTTATCACAGTACTACAAACAATGCATTTTGTGAATTTAATCATGAAGAAATAATCAAACTCGTCCAAAATGAAAATTTACAAAACTAACCTATACTCTACAAAAATGTCAGAAAAACAAAGCTTAAAGAACTGTTTTAGATTAATGGAGACTAAAGATTTGTTACAACTAACTGTAATATGTGATTCTAAACTGGGTTCAGGATGGAGAAAAAAGCTATAAAAGAATTGCTAAAAATCAATTAGCAAAATTTGAAATGTGAATTCCATATTAGAAAATAGTACTGTATGTATCAATGGTAAATTTCCTGAGTCTTGGATATTCTACTACAGTAAGTGTCCTTGTTAGGAACTCCATACTAAAGAACTTAGGAGTAAGAGGTCAAGATAGTATCTATAACTGACTCTCAAATGGTTCAACAACAACATACTGATATACAGGGTAGGGCAAAAATAGACTTATAGTTGTTCATATGGAAAATAATGCAATTAATAAATAAATACTAATACAAGAATAAACTTTGTGCTTCCTGTACTCACAAATATAAATGTACATTTGTCCCACCCTGTATTTATATATAAGAAGAGAAAACAATTGCCTGGCAGGTGTTGCTCAGTGGTTGAGCATCATCAACCCATGAAATCAGGAGGTCAGTTTGATTGCCATCAGGGCACATGACCAGGTTTCGGAAGCCAACACCAGTAGCGGGTGTGCAGAAGACAGCATATCAATGATTCTCTCTCATTGAAGTTTCTATCTCTCTCCCCCTTCCTCTCTCTGAAAATCAATAAAAACATAATTTAGAAAAACAAACATTTTTTTTTAAAGGAGCGTGATTATAGCAAATATAGCTAAATGTTAACAACTGGTGAATCAAGATAAAGGATATACAGAGCACTATTCTTGCAACTTTCTGCAAACAAAGTTTTTTTTACAAAATAGTTTTTTAAAAAGGTAATTGACTATTCTAATAATGTAATGAAGGTACAGGAAATTAAAGCATTGTGCTGAATATCTCAAGACATACCTTTAAAGTTACTTTTAAAAATAAATTTCTCAACTGCTTACTTACTTGTCATAGAATAATAATTTGAGCTTTCTTGCTTTAGAAGGGAGGGTGTATTTTGCCCTAGTAGCAGTGTACCAAAGTAGTAGTTAGAAAAAGTAGTAGTTTTTAACCTCTATAGTCAGGTTGCCTGAATCTGAATTTCAGCCTTTCATATGTTGTTAGGCAACTATCCAGTTAGACCAATGTTCATTGTAACAAATGATAATACTACCTGGTATCACTAAGACTATTGTGAGAATTAAATGAAATAATGCATCTATGGCACCAAATAATAGATAGTAAATTGGTGTCTCAATGTCAAAAATGCCATTCTAATATATATTTTTAAATAAATTACATGAAAAATAACAGGAAAGAAAATAAAGTTTGATTTCTAACTTTTTTTTAAAAGAACAGAATTTTTTTTGTAATACTAATTAGAAAAACATCTCATTATGTTACTTACTCATCCCCAAAGAGTTGATGGGTATATTCAGGAAAGAAAGTTCTAATATCATTCTCAAGATCTTCGGGGAAGCGAACTGTTTAAAAGGAAAAAAAAATGTAGAGATATTAAAGATATTATAGGTTATTTCAATTTTAAGAATTTCATTATACAGTCAATATTTTTCTTACTTAAAGTTGTTGCTTTTCCATTATATGACTTATAATGAAGTCTCATGAGACAAATGAACAATCAAAATAAAAAATCACTGAATATTTTAGTACCAAAAATCTACTGATTTAGTGGCCAGAGAGAAGTCAATGGGAGGAAAGGAAACATGTAATATTTTAAACAATAAAAAACTAAAAATAAGTAAATAAACAAATAAATCAACAAAAATTTTAAAAAAGAAAAAACCTACTGATTCTAAGCATTAGAAAAATAGGTATGATAGAGGCATCTGATTTATTTATATTTTTCTGTATGTTCATACACAATGAAAAAATTAAACAAAAGCAAAAAAGACACTTTGAGATAAGAAAAGGTTTCAACATCAAGGAAACAAAAACAAAATCTATAGGAAACATAAGAAAAACAATAATCTGAGTTAATGAAGCCCATATCATCACATCATTTTTTATGACTGTAAGATATTTATGTTGTTTCTAGTTTTGGGGTTTTTTGTTTTTGTTTTTTCTATTAAAAATCGCTCTAACTGGATTGGCTCATGTACCTTGGATGAGGGCACATCCCCAGTAGGTGTGCAAGAGGCAGGTGATGGATGTTTCTCTCTCATCGATGTTTCTAACTCTCTATCCCTCTCCCTTCCTCTCTGTAAAAAATCAATAAAATATATTTATTAAAAAAAACCTAAAAAATAAAAAATAAAAATAATGCTGTGCCCTGGCCAGGTGGCTCAGTTAATTGGAGCGATGTCCCATATACCAAAAGGTTACCGGTATATAAGGGCACATACCTAAGTTGCTGATCCCTGGTTGGGGTGCGGAGGCAATTGATTGATGTTTCTCTTTGATTTTTATCCCTCCTCTCTTTTTCTCTCCCTACCTCTGTCTCTAAAAAATCAATAAAAACATATCCTCAAGTAAGGGTTAAAAATAAATAACACTGCAATGACATCTTGATATATAATACCTTGCTGTACTTTTACAACATACATAAGGTAAGTTCCTAGCAGAAGAAAGGCTTAGTGAAAATACTAAAATATTTTTTATAAATACTACTCAAATGCCCTCTAAAAATACTATAATAGTTTATACACCCACCGCAGCTTTTAAACTCCTTTGTTTCCCACATCCTTGATAATACTCTATACCCCCAACTTTAACTTCTACTAGTCCAAAATGGAAATGGGAATCCTGTTACTTGTATTTGTATGTATTATGAATACTGATGTTATTGAACAGTTTCCCAATATAATTTATCTTATGAAGAAAAATTTTACAAAAAAAATCCTTAAGCAATTGAAGATGAAAAAAGATGAGTTACTAGATGAAAAATTGCTAACACTGTCCTCACAAAGCAAGTCACTGGTAGGGTACCAAAGTACCAACAGATTACTGATTTACAGAAGAAAAGACCCACAGAGATCTGTCACTTAACACCTTTCCAAGGGATCTTAGAATTAACTCATTTTTGGATAGGCCAACATAATGTGCCTCCTGATTTAATGCAATATAACATATACACCATCACCAAAACAGCTTTCTTTCTAAAAATATTTATCTTAGATCCAAACCAGCTTTATTGTCTTCCACTCTAAAGAAATAGAGGGGCCCTACACAGTTTGGCTCACTGGATAGAGCATAGGCCTGCAGACTGAAGAGTCCCAGGTTCAATTCCGGTCAAGGGCACATGCCTGGGTTGCAGGCTCAATCCCCAGTAGGGGGTGTGCAGGAGGCAGCCAGTCAATGATTATCCATCATTGATGTTTCAATCTCTCTCTTTCCCTTCCTCTATGAAATCAATAAAAAAAATATAAATATTTAGAAAAAATAGAAATATAGAGGGTAGGGGAACAAGTTACATACTACCAAAAGGAAATAAAAATATCTAGAATGTACAAACTGAATAAAAAAAAATAGAAAAGATAGAAATAAATGAGAGCATATATTGTGCTTATGGATAGGAAGACTTAACAGCATTAAAATATCCATTCTACCCAAACCAATCTATAGATTCAATGCAATGCCTATCAAAATACCAATGGCATTTTTCAAGAACGAAATAATCCAAAAATTTATATGGAACCACAAAAGACTCCAAATAGTCAAATAATGTTGTATGCCAACACTGGATATAGTCTTCAGGAGTAGTCACACAAAAAATAACATGTTACTAATAATATTATTATGCAGTTGTAACTTGAACATTACTGTGTGTCAGGCAATTTGCTAAAATTTTTTTAATCATTACTAGAGGTCTGGTGCACAAATTTGTGCACAAGTGGAGTCTCTTGGCCTGACTGCCAATAGGGCGGATGGGGGCCATCTTGCTCAGTCCCAAATGGGGCCGATCCGGGAACAGCCAGTGGGAGGAGGAACCCTGGGAAATTGGCCAGCCAAGGGAGGTTGGCTATGGAAGTGCACTGACCACCAGGGGGCAGCTCCTGCCTTGAGCATCTGCCCTTTGGTGATCAGTGTGTGTCATAGCAACCAGCCGACTGGTCGTTCAGTCGTAACAGTTGCTTAGGCTTTTATATATATAGATTGCAGTTAATCCTCACATGAGCTATTGAATGTTCATTTCATAGATGAATGATGCAAAAATGACTAATTTGCTCAAGGTTATACAGTTAAGTAGTGGGTTTAAATACATCAGTGGTTCTCAACCTTTCTAATGCCACGACCCTTTAATACAGTTCCTCGTGTTGTGGTGACCCCCATCCATAAAATTATTTTCATTGCTACTTCATAACTGTAATTCTGCTACTGTTATGAATTGTGATTCATCACGCGAGAGAAACAATCCCAAATAGGGAATCCTAGCCTATATAATAAAAAGGTAATATGCAAGTCGACCGAACTTCTGAATGACCAGTCACTATAACGTGCACTAACCACCAGGGGCACACTCAACACAGGAGCTGCCTCTGTGGTCAGTGCACTCCCACAGTGGGAGCACTGCTCAGCCACAAGTCAGGCTGATGACTAGTGAGCACAGCAGCCTACCTCCACGGCAGCAGTAAGGATGTCTGATTGCAGCTTAGGCCAGCTCCCTGAAAGCCTAAGTTGTCAATCAGACATCCCCTGAGGGCTCCCAGACTATGAAAGAGTGCAGGCTGGGCAGAGGCACCCCCCCCCATCCCCCAGTGCCCAAATTTTGTGCACCAGGCTTCTGGTACTTAAATGTTATGATACAGTCACAGTGTACTACAAATTTAAAAGAATAAGATAGAGCTCTATGTTTTTTTAACAGAGAATGATATTCAAGACATTGTTAAGCTAAATAATAAAAGAGCCTTACAACAGGCTCCTGATTTTAGAAAAATAATGTCTGTACAAGGAAAAAAAAAAATCTAGATCAGTATTATCTTTTACCTTGTCATTTTCTTTGTATTTCTATTATGTTTGTAGTAGAGGCCTGGTGCATGAAAATTCACATACTGGAGGAGGGGATCCCTCAGCCCAGCCTGCCCCCTCACAGTCCAGGAGCTCTCAGGGGCGGGAGGCAACCTGGTGATCAGGGGAAGGCAACACCCCATCACCCCACTGCTGCTGCCACTGCCGGCCCTGGTTACATGAGCCTCGGGCGGCCCTGGGCGGCTGGGGACTGAGGGGATTCTGGAGGCAGGCGCCCCTGTGGGGCTGAGGGGGTTGGGGGTTGCCACCTTGTCGCTGCGGGCGCAGCCATCTTTGCGACAGTGTAAAGGTCAATTAGCATATTACCTCTTTATTAGATAGGATTGTTTAAATGACAGCAGCTGGTATTTATTGAGAATTTCAAAAAGTTGTTATTCAAGCACTTTACTTGTGTTTAACCTTTCATTTAATCTTTACAAACACTATAAAGTAAACACTATCAACTCCATTTTAAAGATTAGGAAATGGGGACATAAAAAGTTATTGAACCAGGATTTGTGGGTATATAATTAAACAGTGTTACTGAAGTATAATTTATATACCATACAATTCACTTGTTTTAAATAATTTTTAGTAAATTTAAAATTGTGTAACCATTGTCACAATCTCATTTTAAAATGCTGCTATGATTCCCAAAAGAAATCCCATGCTCATTTTCAGTCATCTCTATTCCCACCTTCAACTCCAGGCAATCACTAAATCAACTTCCTGTGACAGAATTGGCTTTCCAAACATTTCATACAAAAAGAATCATACAGGATATGGGGTAGTTTTGTTTTGTTTTTGGTCGGGTTTCACTTAGAATGTTTTTGAGTTTCATCCATGTTTCAGCATTATCAGACCTTCATTCCTTTTTATTGTCACATAATATTCTATCATATAGATATACATACCACACTTTATCTGTTTACTAATTGATAGATATCTGGGTTGTTTCCATTGTTTAGTTATTGTGAATAATGCTGCTATGAGCATTCATGTATGAGTTTTTATATGGACATATGTTTTCATTCCTCTTGGGTAGATACCTAGGAGTAGAATTTCTGGGTCATTTAATATAATAAATGCATGTTTTTAGCTTTTTAAAGAACCTGCCAAATGGTTTTCCAAAGTAGTTGTATTATTTTACATTCCCTTCAGCATTATAATAGTGTTTTTTTCACATCCTCACCAACACTATTATTTTTATAAGAGTAAATATTTTAAAGAAGCTGAGACCACTTATTCATGTCACTTTTTGCCACACTGTACTTCCTATATGTAAATTTTGTCACCTCTCAAACATCTACCCACTCCATGACATAAATCAAGACTGAATAAAATCTGAATTATGTCCAATAAATGCAGAAAATTATATTTATATTCAAAGATTACATTATATATATATATATATATATATATATATATATACACACATACAATACATACATAATACCACTTAGAAATGGCATACATACCTAATTTTAGTTCAATTGCTGTGTTGGTGTTACATTTATACTCTGCCAGTTTCTTCTCCTCTGCACTTTTGTACTCAACCAAAAATTTCTCCATAGCACCAAATCCTAAGAGAAAGATTTTTAAAGGTCTGGTTGAAAATGGTTTAAATAGGCAAATCTAAAAATAGGGTTGTTATTAGAAGTGAAATAAAAGTAAGATTTAAAGCATTTTTATAGATCATAAAAGTATAGGTCATTGTTCACATGCTCCTAAATAAATGTACTTTGTATGAGTGCCTCATTATAAAACGTCATTTGAGATAAAGGCTTATGAAGCAGCGCTGCTTTACATGAATGAGTACACCTGAAAATAAACATGACAGATTACTGACATTTCTGAATATTTAATACTAATATAAATTTCCTGCTATGATTTATACCTATATAGCCTTTTTAAAAGAAATATAAAAAGGATGATACTGCTCCACTAAGAAATAAAGGGAGGCCGAAACTGGTTTGGCTCAGTGGATAGAGCGTCGGCCTGCGGCCTGAAAGGTCCTGAGTTTGATTCCGGTCAGGGGCATATACCTTGGTTACAGGCACATTCCCGGAAGGGAGTGTGTGCAGGAGGCAACAGATTGATGATTCTCTCTCATGTTTCTAACTATCTCTCTCTCCCTTCCTCTCTGTAAAATATCAATAAAATATATTTTTTTTTAAAAAGAAGAAGTGAGAATGTCCTTTAACAATTACAATAACATTTCATTTCTAATACTGGAAAAATTATACCCAGAGTACTTCCAGACTATTAAAAGAACTATGAACTGATAATGCATACATTATCTTAGAAAGTATACACAAGGAACTGGTAACCATGGTCACCTCTAGGATAAGAGAAGGAATGGGGATAGGTTTAGAAAAGAAAATTTTCATTGTATTATAAATATTTTTTACCATCTGTGCATAGTCATAAACTATCCCAGCTATTGGAATAACCAAATGGTTTCATAACGTGGCTAGTCATCAAGATATATAACAATTAATGAAAGAATCATTATCAAGAGGAACTTTCAAGCAAAGATGACAAGTCTCCAGACAAAATAAATATAAAAGTTAGCAAAAATTCAGAGGGGAAAATCATGAGCAGAAACAAAAAGGGTACAATAACATGCCATAATATTTCAATAAGTGGTTAAAACACATACACAGAAAATGGGGAACACTTGAGGCAATTACTGATTAATGATTTGGAATCAGAATTCCTGCATTCAAATCCAGTCTTCACCATTTATTTACTTCATCTATGAATTACTTGACCTCTCTGACCCTAATCTATAAAACTGAGATAACAGATCCCACCTCGAATTTATATATAAACTAAGCACCAAAATTTAACTTGTGAAATCCCACATTAGCTTAACCCCCCACAATTCTATAATACGTATATATTATGTGTTATAACTCAATACTCACAAATAAATCTCTTTGCTTCATTAAGAGCTCCCAACTACTAAATGGTAAAGCTAAGATTCCAATTTAGGTGTGATTCTTATAACATGTACACCCTATGCAGTACCTATGTTCTCCCTCTTTTATAGTACCAGTGTATTCAATGATCCCATAGCTCTTCCTTTAACTTCTGTAGAGCTTGCCACGACCGGTTTGGCTCAGTGGATATAGCATCCGCCTGCGGACTGAAGGGTACCGGGTTTGATTATGGTCAAGGGCACACCCCCAGTGGGGGGAGTGCAGGAGGCAGCTGATGGATGTCCCTCTCCCATCGATGTTTCTAACTTTCTATCCCTCTCCTTTCCTCTCTGTAAAAATCAATAAAATGTATTTAAAAAAAAACAAACACACACACACACACACACACACACAAAAACAACTTCTGTAGAGCTCAATCTACAGCCTGTCTACCCAACACATCCATAAAAGTGGTTTGTCTCAGTGGATAGAGCATCGGCTTTCGGACTGAAAGGTCCCAGGTTTGATTCCGGTCAAGGGCATGTACCTTGGTTGTGGGCACATCCCCAGTAGTGGGTGTGCAGGAGGCAGCTGATCCATGTTTCTCTCTCATCGATGATTCTAACTCTCTATACCTCTCCGTAAAAAATCAATAAAATATATATATATATTTTAAAAGTGTAGTGAGACTACTATGAAGGCACTGGGAACAGAGATCATGAACTGTCAATCACGTGAAAAGATAAGTAATTTGGGCGGCGGGGGCATATATAGGCACATCAAAACAATCTTCATACACGTACCAAAAAACAGACATGGTTATTAAATGTTATCAAATGTTGTAAAGAAGGCTCAATAGAGAGCAGAACAGAATGACCACTAGGGAATTACATTATAGTAGACACACTCTAAAAAGAGTTTAGGCGAAGGAAGAATGAGAGAGCCGCTTTTCTCAGAGAAAAATCTTATAAACCCATCCTAGAAATCCCGAAGTGTGAGAGATTAAGGAGACTGCAAAGTCAGTCATGACATTCCCGTGAGAGCCCCAGCGCAGGACAAGGCGGCCCTGCGCTAGCTCTCACGCCGCTGGCGGTGGAAGGCGGGGGACCTGGAAGGGGAGGATGAGCCTTAAAACCAGCCGGCGGGAACAGACCCAGCCCCGTGCGGCCGAGGCAGCAGTGGGCAAAAGGGACGAGGAGAGAAACAGGCCTCAAAGCACCTGGCACCTTACAACCCGAGCCGCGACGCTTTTCCCCTCGGCTTCTCTCCGTCGCTCGCCGGGGGGTCAAGTTCTTCGCAGAAGGCGCCGGACCCGGAGCAGCGGGGGGCGGGGGCGCGAACCTCTCCTCACAAGAGGCTGCAGCGCTCCGAGTTCCGCGCTCCCCGGCTGGAGCAGGCCTTCTGGAACCCAGGCCGGAGCCCCAAAATTCCAGGCGGGCACTGTCACCACGGCCTCGGCGTTCTTTCCCGAACCCGCGGGCCCCCTCCCCTCCGTAAACTTTTCCCGGGAACTTACCCGCCATTTCCGAGCTCGGGGAGCACCCGCGGCCGAGGAAGGACGAATCAACCCGCGCGCTCCCTGGCCGGAAGTGAGCTCATGGGATGACTCCTTTTCCCCTCCCGCCAGCCAATGGGAGGAGGAGGCTGGGCGCGCGGGGCGGTGGAAGCGGCTCGGGAGGCGGGACTTACGGCGCCGGGAAGCTGTCGGACAGACGCCCAGCCGCCGCGGGCGCCGGCAGCCGTGTTGTAGGCCTGAGGCAGAGGAGGAGGCCGTAAAAGGCATCTTCTGTTTAGCCCTGGGAGCGTTTCTTGAGGTTAATTTGAATTATATACTTTACGGCTCTCTGTCTCCCCTCCTCCTCCCACCGGCGATGTTTTTGGAGACGGAGAGAAAAACTCTTCCCCTCGGCCTGAACGATAGACCCAATCACCTGCATCCTTAGCCTAAAATGTAGGAATTGAGTTGCAGTTGCGGGAGAAATTTTCACTTACTTTATTTGTTTCTGTTTTTGCTGTTCAGACTTAACCTCGTTTTTCTTTTCTCTCATGTTATCAGTATGCAGTGCGATATCAACGTAGGGACTCTGCTGAAATAGTTATCACCTCGAGGTCTGTTTTAGTAGCTTGAACCACATCGCAATATGCTGCTGTTTTCGGCCATTGGGCTTATTATTATTTAGTAACTGTTGAAACCGTTTGTCCCAGAGGATAAGCCACTTTTTTTTTTGATAACCACAAGTATCCCTGCAGTGTTGTGTATACTGTAGAATGCCTTGTGACAACAAATGTTGGCTATTAGGTTTTACGATGATGCTAGAGTTGAAATTGGACCCTCTAGGAGTCTAGAACGAATGCACCACTTCATTTTAGAGATGAGGAAACTAAAGCCCAGGAAAGAGAAATTGTTTAAGTCCTCCCAGTATACAGCCTATGCAAGAAATTGTCTTAAGTCCTCTCAGTACACAGCCTATGCAAGAGTCAAGTTCTTCAGATACCCCATATTTTATACTACACGGAGATGGGCCTCCTGAAGATAAGATTAAAAAAAGGTACCGAGAATGCTCAGATCCTTTTCCTTTAAGCCTTACTGAGACACCAGAAATTATGATCATACAGTGTTAAATAGAAAACTGAATCAATACTATAATCAGTGACGTGGATTTTAAAAGGGAAGCAATAATGTCCTCAAAATGTCAAGACTTACTTTCTTTCCAAAACCACCTTATCTGTAGATCAGTCGATTGCTGACCAGCAATTATGATCCTTATAATAAGAAATCAAGAACATTTTTAACTGCAGTAAATCTGAAATGGATTAGTCCTGTGACTTCATAGTTGTAGAAAAGAAATATGGTGAAAACTATACATGATAAATATGAATAAGAAATAAGATGAATATGAGTAAGGAATATGATGAGCTGTATCATGTGACTACCATTTAGTATGATCAACTTGCAAAATTGAGGTTACAGTTTTAAATTATCCTTGTCTTAAAGCTATTCACACATTTATTAAAATACCACAGAATACATGTTTAGATGCAGTTTGCCTAAAAGATAAAAAGAATGACTTCTTTTAGCATCATAATAGTAAAATTACCAAAAAAGAAAATATATTTCCTTTTTTAGTAGGGTCTTTCCCCGCTTTTTGAATTTATATTTTACCTTATTCTAAAGGGAATTTAGGAAGTGATTATTGCCACTGTGGGATAAAATATCTATGAAAAGGAATATGCTGTCCTACTAGTATGTAAGAGGCAGCATAGTGGTATGGAAAGTCCAAGCCAATCTAGTCTTAAGTTCTACTTTTTCATGATTGTGACCTTGTTTTCATCTATTAAGTGGAGATAATATTACCTTTCCAGTCACCACACTAGTTGTTGTGAAAGTCAAATGGAAAATATTTATCAAAATTTCTATATTCATGTGAGGTGGTATTTGTATGATAACATTAATTCTAGAATAAGAGGTCTGGAAAAGGCCATAGTGCACTCTTAGGAATGAACTAGCAACCATGTGTTTGCTACAGGCTAAGGCTAAGAATATATAGACTAGTAAATTTTGCTATCACATCTTGAAACCCCCAGAAGGCATATTTTTTAAAGACATGGTATTAAACATATGATCATCAAAAAGTAGAGGTAGGAAATCTGAAATCTAAAAGCTAAAGGTAGGTACTTAATGTGTATTTTAAAATATGTACAGAAAAATAACAATAACTAGTTAACACATTTGTTTAGCTCATAGTGCTATCCGTATAAGGGTGGAGTGGAGTTCCAGTTCCCAGAAAAGTTATCCAGAACCCCCTACCCAGCTGGATGACTGTCATATGAGATAAAATAAAGAAAGTAAAAATAGACCAGCTAATATTAAAAACTATCAGAGGAATAACAAAGACACTCATTACCAACAGATTGTGCATTCCATTTTTTTAACTCTCATACACTGTCCATAGATATAGAAACTAGTTTTTGGCAAGCAATTTGACAATTTTAACAACTTTAAGACATTTTTCAATTTATATATCTTTTGAGGCAAGAGTTCCACTTATAAGCATTTATCCTCCAAAACTATTTGTACAAGAATACAAAGACATATCAACAAAGTTATTCAATATAGTATTACCGTATTTTTCGGACCATAAGACGCTCTGGACCATAAGACGCACCAGTTTTTAGAGAAGGGAAATGAAGAAAAAAAGATTCTGAAACAAATAGTGTCCTAAAATATTTTATGTGCATTAAAACCCAACATCACAGTCATAAACACATGTAATCAACCCTGTAAAGTAAACAGCATTTAGAACCATTTTAGAGCCGGGCAAGCACACAGAGACCACACAGAGCTGGGCAAGTAAAAAAACTTTTTTTTAAAGTATATGTGTAGGCTATATTTGGACCATAAGACGCAGGGACTTTTTCCCCCCACTTCTGGGGGGAAAAAAGTGCGTCTTATGGTCCGAAAAATACGGTAATTATACTGGCAAATTGGAAATGACTAAACATTCATTGAAAGTGGCTTGCTTTTTTTATTTTACATGATTATAAAAAAGGAAACATTTACAATTTGATATAACAGTGCTCTATAGTCCTCTTTGAAACATCCCTGTGTTTGTTGAATATACCTTACTAGAGGACCAGTGCATAAAAATTCATGCACTGGAGGGGGGGTCCTTTAAGCCTGTCCTGCCCCCTCTCCCAGTCCAGGAGCCCTCAGGGGCAGGAGGTGACCCAGTGATCAGGGGAAGGCAATGCCCCATCACACCTCTGCTACTGCCACTGCCAGCAGGGCAAGCCTCTGCTGGCCCTGAGTGGCTGAGCAACTGCCATTGGAGGCTTGCTTGCGCCTCAGGCCAGTCCTGGGCAGCTGTGGGGCTGAGGTGACTTGGGTGCCACCATCTTTGAGAGTGTGGTAGTTAATTAGCATATTCCCTCCTTATTGGCTGTGGGTGCTGCCATCTTTGAGGGCGTGGCAGTTAGCATATCCCCTCCTTGTTGGCTGTGGGCACTGCCATCTTTGAGGGTGGGGCAGACAATTAGCATATTCCCTTATTGGCTGTGGGTGCCATCATCTTTGCAATGGCGTGAGGGTCAATTAGCATATCCCCTCTTTATTAGATAGTATTACAGGCCCAGCGTGTAATTGAAATCACACAAGGAGGCACCCTGCGGGGGCCAGGACCTGCACCTGATTCACAGAGTCCTCTGGCCCCTGCCTGTATCCGCTCCGGGGCCACCAGAGCCATCGCACCAGCTCGGGCAGGCTTCCCTGCCTCTGTCTCCATCTCCGCTCCGGGCCTCACCTGCACACACAACCTCCTCCTGGTCAGGACCTGTTACAGAGTCCCGGCCTATTTGAATATTATCTCTTGATAGATAGATAGATAGATAGATAGATAGATAATACTGGATAACCCCTCCCCACCCTCTGGGAAAAGAGGGCCCAAATTAAAATTGGAATCATCTGTAAATAAGAATCTAGCCATAAGAATCTCCACAGTTAAAATGCTACTTCATATATTCTTTTTTCAGTTTTATTTTTTTATTATTATTTTTTTAATAAGTTTTTATTGTTCATATTATTACAAATGTTCCTTCCCCCCGCCCCCCACCATTGCTCTCCTCCACCAGGTTCCCACCCCGCCCTCTGCCCTTTCCCCTCTCCCCATTGTCCTCATCCATAGGTGCACAGTTTTTGTTCAGTCTCTTCCCACGCCCCCCTCTCCCCTTTTCCCCAAGAATCGTCAGTTCACTCCCCTTCCATACCTCTGATTCTATTATATTCAACAGTTAATATTGTTCATCAGATTTTTTTAATTTCCTTGGTTTTTAGATTCACTTGTTGATAGTTACGTATTTGTTGTACATAATTTTTATCTTTGTTTACTTTCTCTTCTGAAAGAACCCCCTTCAGCAATTCATATAATTCTGGTTTGGTGGTGATGAACTCCTTTAGCTTTTTTTTTATTAGTGAAGCTCTTTAACTGGCCTTCGATTCTGAGTGATAGCTTTGCTGGGTAGATTATTTTTGGCTGTAGGTTCTTCCTATTCATCACCTTGAATATTTCTTGCCATTCCCTTCTGGCCTGCATGGTTTCTGTTGAGAAGTCAGCTGACAATCGTATAGGTGCTCCTTTATAGGTTACTACCTTCTTTGCTCTTGCTTCTTTTAATATTCTCTCTTTGTCTTTTGCTCTTGGAATTTTAATAATGATGTGTCTCGGTGTGGTCCTCTTTGGATTCCTTTTGTTTGGAGTTCTGTGCGCTTCCTGGACTTGTAAGTAATTCTTTCACCAGGTGGGGGAAGTTTTCTGTCACTATTTCTTTCAGTATGTTTTTGATACCTTGCTCTCTCTCATTTTCTGGGACCCCCATAATTCTCATGTTGGTTTGCTTGAAGTTGTCCCAGAGGTTTCTTACATTATCTTCAATTTTCTGGATTCTCTTGCCTTCTAGCTTCTGCGGAGGAGGGTCTTCTGGCTCTTTATGTTCCAAATCTTTGACTTGATTCTTGCGATCTTCCCTTCTGTTTTTAGGACTCAGTAAAATATTTTTTATTTCAGGCAATGTATTCTTTATTTCTTGTTGATCCCTTATCATTTCTTGTTGACTCCTTATTAATTCTAGTTGATCTCTTTTCATATCCTCATAGGCC